TATTAATCGTTTTAGGAGCGGCAGAGAGTCAAGATTTGATATTACAGGAAAAAGTCTATTATAGTCAGAACATAATACTCTGAAAGGCTCATGCAAGGCATAGTTAGATCTACAATGATTTAAAATTAGGGGAATATAATTTCTAGTTAATCTACTTGGCACAGAAAGTTTAGCCGACTTAACAAGTCGGGGCAGTCAATATCACCATGTATAAGGTTATAAATAAAGATAGTACCAAGCATCGTTCTACGGTTGGCTAGGGATGGTAAATTAATCAAAAGAAGTCTACTAGAATAAGAAGGTAAGATAAGATTTGCATCCCAGTTTAGGCGCCGTAAAGCAAAAAGAAGGAAGTTTTTTTGTACAGATTCAATACGACCAATATGTATTCCGTATTGTGGACTCCAGACGGGAAACCCATACTCCAGAATCGGACGGACTAGCGAAATAAATAAAGTTTTAGTTAAATAAGGATCATCGAATTCTTTTAACCACCTTTTAATAAATCCAAGCACTCCTCTGGCTTTATTAACCATGGACGAAATGTGATTAGAAAATTTTAGTTTAGGGTCCAAGAGAACGCCAAGATCGTTTACAAGAGTTATTCTATCCAAAGAGCTGCCACTTAACGTGTAAGTCGCGTATATCGGATTGGCCCGATAAAAAGTCATCAGCTTGCACTTGGAACCGTTTAAATTTAGTAAATTATCTCGGCACCAGTTTTGAAAATTATCTAGATCGGATTGCAAGTTTAAATGGCAGGAAATGTCCTTATACTGCAGGCACAACTTAACATCATCTGCGTACATAAGTACGCGAGAATGACTTATAATTGAGGGAAGATCGTTAATAAATAATGTAAAAAGTAACGGACCCAGATGGCTCCCTTGTGGGACACTGGAGGTAACACGGAGAATTTCAGAATTTGAATTTTTAAAAAGGACCCTTTGTGACCTGCCATTTAGATAACTTGAAATCCATTTAATCAGATCAACTGGAAAACCTAAAAGGTCAAGTTTTTGAATGAAAAGTAAGTGATTTACAGAGTCAAATGCTTTACTAAAGTCAGTGTAAATGACGTCTGTTTGAAAACTACTATTGAAGCTGAATAGCTGACAACTTAGAAATACCTCTGTAGTTACTGGCTTCTAACTTGTTACCTTTTTTGAAAAGAGGAATAACAAATGATTCCTTCCAAATATTTGGGAATTGGGACGTTTCTAGAGATAAGGTAAACAACTTGTGAAGAGGTTTGCACAGGGCCTTAGCGCAATACCTAAGCACGCACCCAGGAATACCATCGGGCCCTGGCGAATAAACAGGCTTAATACGAAGAAGATCCAAAAGAAGAGAGCTTTCTGTTAAAGTGGGACAGAATATGAGGTTTGACTTGGGCATGGTGTAAGAATAAGGCTGAGATTAATAATCTAAAGTAGAGTAAGTCGTTTGAAAAAATTGGGCAAATATATCGGCTATTGCCTGATCTGTGGTTCCCGTCATGTTTTCGAACGACAGCGAGGAAGGAAAAGAATTAGATTTACGCTTGGTGTTAACAAAATTATAAAACTGTTTCGGGTCCTGAGAGAACTGGACCTTACAACGGTTTAAGTAACTATTATAACACTGAGCATTAAGCACGGTAAATCTTGACCGAGCACTTAAATATCTAGTAAAAACAGATTGAGAACCGGTATTTTTATATTTCCTAAAAAGTCTGGACTTTACATTTCTTAAGTGTGTTAACTCTTTGCTAAACCAAGGTGATTTATTGGAAGTTGACGGATGGTACCACGGAACACAGGAATTAAAAAATGAGTTTATTGCAGTATAAAAAACATTAACTGCATCGGACATATTATTGCATAAGTAAAGATCAGACCAATTAAAGACAGAAATAAAATTATTAAGCCTCAGAAAGTCTGCCTTGCGAAAACAATGTATTCGTTTGGATTTTTCTGATTTTTCTTCTATAACTCTAGCCGTATCAAAGTTCGATTGTTGGATGATATGGATCTTCAGGTTGCGTGAGTGGTGCTACTCTGGACAGAAACACACTTTCAGGATTTGACAATCGATCCATCCTCAGTGGACCAAGTAACTCCAGGTATATTAAAATCACCTAGAACTATCAACTGATCCCTATCGGAAAGCTTATTTGCAACGGACTTAATAACGGATAGGTGATTTAAATAATCAGGAAGTTCAGACAACGGCGGAATATAAGAGCAAGTTATGTATATAAAGTTACCAGGAAGCGATAACTTTACACAAATAAATTCAATGGTATTGAATTCATCAAAAAATAATTCCTCAGACGGGAAGTTTGAATCAATTCCAATTAAGACTCCCCCTCCACGTCTAGAGGGACGGAATACAATTTAGTGAGTTTGCTACGCAAACCTCTTGCATTCTGATAGGAAAGAAGGAGGTTAGAAGTTAGTTTTTTGAAATTGGCACACTGGTTTGGCCTCGACTAGGAAGTTTTACTCCTACGGGCCCCTTCTTCTTTATCTTAGCCTCGAACTATTTTACAACCATATTATCCGGCCAAAAGTCGCACGAGCATATGACTTCAAAAAGCTCGTTAGGGACAGTTATCTTGAAAGATGAAATTTCTCTAGCATAAGAAAACTTAAACTTTTCCACCTTTACACTATTACAATCGGCTTTAGTTTTGTCTTGTATATAAGACAATACATCAGAAGATGTTTGATCAGGGGAAAGCCGAGAAACGAAAATTTGTTTCTTTAGTGGAACCACTAAAAGGGATTTTGGTGGAGCAGACATTGTTTCTGCAAAACCAACTTGAGCCGGTTGTCCGGACTCAGTAGTCCCTTGTGGTAGTGATGCTACATTCTGAGAGATAGGTGGATCCACTAATTGTGAAACCACTCCGGACAAATTGGAATTCTTAGAAGTCCCTGGTTGCATGCATTCTGTAACGGATTGTTCGGATACCGAATCTTTTTTAGCTGCTGATCTTAGCAACATTTGAGGGTTTGCTGAAATCAGCTGCTGATCCCCTTTTGCTCCTTACCACCAGCGGCCTTTTTGCGCTTAGGGGACTCTTCTAATAGCTTAAGACTATTAAACTGCGAGTCCAGCGCAGAGAGGAGATCATCAGCTCGGCGAAAACTATCTCTAGCAACTCCGAAACAGCTAATCAGCCCCATCAGGCCGCCTTTAGTTTGGCGCATGAACGATTTCATCTCGTTCGCAACCTCGATACAAGCGTCACAACAAAACTGCAAATTGGGCCCCTTCGAAAGGTCTTCACTTGTCCGGCCAGTAAAACCAGCGCACTTGGTGTGCACCATATTTTCACACAGCCATTTTTTGCAGAAGCAGACTAAATTTTTATTATTCATTTTATATTTATTGGGACCACTGTACCAAGAAAGCAAATTGAAATTTATAAACGAGCAGTTATAAGTACCGCAAGAGCGCAGAAACTGCACGCTTAGAACTTTCAAAGCAAAGAGAGCAAGAGAGCGGGAGCGTAAATAAGTTAAAGTGCATGCACAAAAGAGAAACAGCGGGGATATAAATAGGATAGAAAACACAGATAAGAATTACGAAAAACTAAAACAATTTATTAGTATCAATACAAAGTGCACTCGCGAAGCGAACGGAGTTTAAATTTATGTTTAAATAACCGAAAGAAAATTTAATGTTGTTTTTATAAAACCCACCGATGGGAATAAACGAAAACAAAATACAAAATTCGAAGCGCAGAAAAAAACACGACCGTTCACTTTGAAAGTCAAAGACGATTACAAAAAATTCTGCTTGGCTGATGTGACCACCCGACTGCTCTAGCAGTCGCTTCCTTATGAGCAGGTTGGGGATTCTTAACTTATCCCCATGATGTTTTTAGTATCCGTGAATAAGGTAGAGAAGAGGCCCCCTAGTAAATCGGCACTCAAGGGAGATTCTTGTAGCGCGGTATCCCACCGGAATTCGTCGATCCTGTCGTCACGAGAGCACGCCGAGTTATGTTATTACTTAAGAATAGTTTTAAGCATCCTACTAAAAAACAAATTACCATAAGATAAGTACGAACTTGTATAAAATTTATTTAATTGCCGGTCATCAGTAAGCCATCGAAAACTCCGTTTCGTTTGACTTTCTGTATGATTTGTCTAAAATCAAACTTCGATTAATCCGACAACGGAAATTAAAATACAATTTCGACTTTTCTTATTCTCCTTTGATCCTGCGGCCATTTTAGTCCATTTTCCTTTTGTGCAAATTAAGTACATTTCGAGTACATAAGTTAATTTGGCCGTACATCAAAATATACATATGTGTACATACATAATTAAAATCCAGTGAACAAATTCAGTGAAAAGTTTAAAGTGTGGAAAATATATTCCCAGCGCACACTGAATATTAATTACAAGTGATCCGCCAAAATCGGCCCCCTACTTATTTAAAGTGCCAGCCCTTCGCTGTGTTTCCACAGCTAAAATATTTTTAGCACACCTTTTCCATTTCAAATACAGTCCAGAAAAAATCGAAAATTACAACACATACCCGCCGGCCAGATTTATACATAAATTTTCCGCCACCTACACATATATATATTACATACATGTCGGATCTTAAATTATGGTAGTCAGTGTAAAAGACTTAAATCAAATACGCGTACCAAGTGACATTTCTTGTCTCTACACTAGACCGGTTGTTTGTTAGTACGCTTTAATCCTTCTATTCGCCAGATGGTCAAGATAGTTCGATGCGAACATGAGAGAGAGATGTTGCGTGAGGTTAGAGGTTTGAGAGAGAGATGTTGCGGAGGATAGAGGTTTGAAAGAGAGATAGACACTACGATTGTTGTGCGTGTATGCTTGAGCCACTGCGAGAGACAGAGATAGAAGTATGTTCGTTGCAGCTTTTTCTGGAGAGCATTTTCGGTATGCTAGAATGTTGGCGGACACTTTTAAGTTGGCAGTGGCGTGATCAAGTTTATTCGCCGTATACAATCTGCGTAATTAAATATGGAAGATAATAATAGCAACTCGACATCAGAAGTGGGATCAGTGCCAACTCCTGCATTTTCTGAAGATCAGTGGCGTACCATTATGGAACTGCAAAATCGTAATTTCGTCGAAATGTGTAGGGCTATGCAAGCGTCTGTGCGTCCACAAAATCAAGTGGTTTTGCCAAAATTTAACCCAGATGTAACTGGAGCTGATGCGACTCAATGGTGTGCAACGGCAAGCATTATTATGGACGAACAGCAGATTAATGGCAGCGCACTTATCATGATGTTGAGTAGTTGCATGCAGGGCAGTGCTTCAGCGTGGCTTGCACAGATCTGCTATCCCGGCATTAATTGGGAGCAGTTTAAAGAACTTTTTATACAGCGTTTCGAAATTAAGGAAACGTCGGCAGCTATGTTCCTGAATCTGCTGAACAGCCGTCCAGCCTACAATGAGTGCCCTGCAGTGTACGCAAGCCGTATGGTGACGTCATTGACCACAAAATGGCGCAATATGAACGTCGAGGAAATAACTATATCCACATGGTTAATTTTGACAACCGTTTGCAGAGTATGGTGTTCTCGTCAAATGTACAAACTAGAAGTCAACTCCAGATGGAACTGAAAGCATTTACATTTGACAAAAAGCGTAGTGCTGGAAGTACTGATGGTAATAGCGGCGACAGCAAGCGAGCCAAAATTGTGTGCCACTTATGCAAGAAACCAGGACATAAAATGGCGGAGTGTAAATTAAAGCGGTCTGGATCGGAGAATAAACAGCATCGCGATTTGCAGAATGTGACCTGTTACCGGTGTGGACAACTTGGGCATCTTGCGAATCGGTGCACGAACAATGCAGCTAAATCTGGAGCAGTTACTGAGAAGAAATGTAATCAATGTTTTGTGGCTGAGGCAAAAGGAGTTTTGAGACATCAGGGTGAGATCTTTCCTATTTGCTTTGACTCTGGAGCAGAATGCTCGCTTATTCGAAGTAGTGTTGCCGGTAAATTTTATGGCAAACTTATTAATAATATTGTCATAATACGAGGTATTGGCGACGCTGGCATTTCCAGTAAGCTACAAAAACTATCTAAATGTATTATTAATGGAAATATTGTAGAAATACTGTTTCACGTCATAGCAGATAAGTATCTCACAAATGATATTGTAATTGGTAGGGAAATCCTTAGTCAGGGATACGAAATCATCTTGACACCTGATAAATCTTAATTTGTTAAGTCTAAGTCTGTAAAAGTCTGTAAAGTATCTGAGCCATCTGCCTTGTTACTTAATGTTGATACTGAAATGATTGGTAATGACAAGAAAACTTAATTAAATTACTTGAAGACTATTCAGCTGCATTTATTGATGGAATCCCTTGCACAAAGGTTAATTCAGGTGAAATAACTATTAGATTAATTGATCCAAACAAAACCAAATGAAAAAGAAATTGTACGTGAAAGGATAACGGAATTGTTAAACTGTAACATTATTCGACCTAGATGTTCTCCCTATGCTAGTCCTATACTCTTGGTTAAAAAGAAGAACGGATCCGATCGACTTTGCGTTGACTATCGTGAACTGAACAACAATACTGTTTTGGACAGATATCCCTTACCACTTATTAACGATCAGATTGCTAGACTAGCGGGTGCAAAATATTTTACTTGTCTGGATATGGCTAGTGGATACCATCAGATACGCATTCATCCCGATTCTGTTGAATATACCGCGTTTGTTACACCTGCCATTTGGCCTCAAGAACGCCCGGAGCCATTATAAACGCATTGGGAAATCTTGCATATTCTTATGTAATAGTCTATATGGACGATATAATGGTGGTGTCATCTACCATAGAATTAGGTATGCAAAGATTGAGGATTGTTTTGGATGTATTGACTGCAGCGGGATTCTCTTTTAACATAGCAAAATGTGGATTCTTAAAAACTACTGTACAATACTTGGGGTATGACTATAATAAACCACATTATTTCTACTACCGACTCTTTGCCAAGCCTAAAATCATTAATTTTATCTTACCTAGCACAAAATTAGTATTAGTATTAGTCTCGTACGTATTTGTAATCTTAGTCTGTCCGCTTCTACATTGTGCTTTTAACTTCTCGCGATCTCGTTTTTACGCCTATTAGGCTCAACGTCCGAAAAAAAAAAAAAATGAGGTACGAGCTAGAGAGTTAAGGCCTAATCCGCGAAAAATTCTTGCGTTAAATTCCTTGCCACCACCGCAAACCGTTCGTAGCGTAAGACAGTTTATAGGATTGGCGTCTTATTTTCGAAAATTCGTGCCTCGGTTCTCACAGATTATGAAACAGATATATTCCTTAACTTCGAGTAAAAGTGTGTTTAATTGGAATAACGAGTTGGAAGATATTAGAAAAAATATTATTGCTATCCTTATAAATGAGCCTGTACTTGTTATTTTTGATCCACAACATCCAATAGAGTTACACACAGATGCTAGCTTTTATGGTTATGGTGCAATGTTAATGCATCGAATCAATGGTAGTCCTCATGTAATAGAGTATTTTAGTAAAACTACTTCCCCTGCAGAGTCTAGATACCATTCATACGAATTAGAAACCTTGGCAGTGGTAGAATCCGTTAAACAGTTCCGTCATTATTTAGTTCGTCGTACGTTTATAGTGTATACTGATTGTAATTCTCTTAAATCATCGTGGACAAAGATTGAGCTAACACCAAGAGTGCATCGTTGGTGGGCGTATTTGCAGTCGTTTGATTTCAAAATCGAATATAGAGAAGGAAGGCGCATGGCACATGTGGATTTTTTTATCGAGAAATCATATTCAGGAAGCCACCAAAGTTTAAAAGTCTATAGTCCCTGAAAAGCGTGTAAACTTGGCAGAAATCTCAAGTGACTGGCTTGCTGCTGAACAGCGCCAGGATTCTGAAATCACTGATATCATTAGGTTAGGTTAGGTTAGGACGGCTGCCAGGCTGTACCCTGGTACACCTAGACCTCTGTGGGTCCATTGTGATACCGTATGGTCTCTATTTTTGAGTCCCCTATCCGTAAGAGTCAGCCTGTAGGTTGGTCGATCAGCAGGTCCCCCATCCGGAGGATTTAATAAAAGAGCTTAGACTCTTCAGGTTAGTCTGCGATATTTCGGTCAGGTCATTTATGAAAGGATATCCTAAGTGTTTCAGTCTAAGCCTGCATAGGGCTGGGCATGAACAGAGTAGGTGTTCCACCGTTTCCTCTTCTTCCTCATCCCTGCAGCTTCTGCAAAAATCGTTTTTTGGGGCTTTTAGCCTGCCGGCGTGTGCGCCAACGAGCCAGTGGCCTGTGAGTACTCGAATTAGCATGCTGCACTCAGTGCGGCTGAAATTGAGTAGTTCTGATGTTTTCTTATTGTTTATTACAGGCCATGTCTGGTGAGAGATTCGGCATTGCGGTGTGTTTTGCCAATAAGTGTTGGCTAATTTGCTGAAGTGGTTTTTAATAATTAGCTTACAAGTAGCCATCGGCATGCCGACATTCTCCTTTCCTGGAAGGAGAGGTATGGTGGTGCCTTGCCTGGCTAGCTCGTCTGCTATACAGTTGCCTACGATATCCCGGTGACCCGGAACCCATATAAGGCTGACCGTAAACTGACTAGCCATCTCGTGGAGAGATTTGCGACAGTCTGCTATTGTTCGGGAGTTTGTATTTGTCGAGTAGATTGATTTAATAGCCGCTTGGCTATCACTATATATGTTTATGTGTCTGTTCTGGGTGTTTAAGTCCCTTAAACAGACAAGTGCTTCCATTATAGCATACACTTCCGCTTGGAAGACACTGCAGTGGTCAGGAAGTCTGAAAGACCGCCTGATCTCTAATTGCTCGGAGTATATGCCTCCACCTACGTGTCCGTCTAGTTTGGAGCCGTCTGTATATAAACAGATTGCATCTATTGAGCCCGGTCGGCCACGATCCCAAACTTCCCTGCCTGGGATCAGAGCTTCGAAGGGCGTGTGATTGTATTCACGGGTTTTACATAGATCCGTTTTTGGCGGGATCAATTTGTCATGCTGAAGAATCTTAGCGTGACCAAACAGTTGGGCTTTCCATTGCCCTGTATCCCTTAGTCGAATGGCTGCCGATTTCGCCCTTTCCATTCCTGCTAAGTCCAGGCTCTGGAGGTTCAAGATCGCATTCAGCGCTTCGTTTGGGGTAGTTCGAAGGGCTCCACTCATACACAAGGCCGCCATGCGCTGTACTTTGTTAAGTGGAGTTAAGATACATTGTTTGTGTAAGGCGGTCCACCACAGAGCCACTCCATATAGTAGGATTGGTTTGACTACCGCTATGTATATCCAATTGACGATTTTAGGGGACATACCCCATCTTAGCCCAATTGCTTTTTTACAAGAGTAAAGTGCAATGGTCGCTTTCTTGGTTCTCTCTTGGTTGTTTAGGCCCCATTTAAGACGCTTATCTAATACTAACCCCAAGTATCTTGCGTGCTCGCTAAAAGAGAGATTACAGTTGTTTAAAGTGGGTGGGTTAAGTTTTGGGATTTTGTATCTATTTGTAAAAAGGACTAGTTCCGTTTTTGAGGGATTTACCCCAAGTCCGTTCTTTGTAGTCCATTCCGATAGTGTTTTTAGTTTTGCGGTCATAAGATCGCATAACGTTTGTGGATACCTACCATTAAAGATGATAGCGACATCGTCTGCGTATGCCACTATTTTACAGCCTCCTCCTTCAAGAATCCGCAGTAGTTTATTTACCGCGATATTCCATAAAAGGGGTGATGGTACACCTCCTTGCGGAGTGCCTCTGTTCACTAATCAAGTCTGGGTCGAGGTCCCTAGTGTGGCCGTGACCAATCTGCTTATCAGCAATTTGTGGATCAGCCCCACCAGCGGTGGCTCAACCCCTAGTTCAGTGAGGGATTCTGTTATTGCCGTGGGGAGCACGTTGTTGAAAGCTCCTTCTATGTCAAGGAAGGCGATCAAGGTGTATTCTTGTATACTGAGTGATTTCTCGATGTTGCTTACTACCAAGTGTAGCGCCGATTCGGTCGACTTACCTTTGGTGTATGCGTGTTGCGCCTCTGATATCTATGAATGGACCAGTTTATATTACGGTCTGATAGTAGGAGATTTAAGTTTATTCCTTCTCCAGTGTGTCTTCCTGGGGGATGTCCTGTTTGCAGGCTCCCTGGGAAGTGAGCGTCTAGGAGTAGGTTTAGGGATTCTTCACTAGAGTCCGACCATGATCCGTCAGCCTTTTGGAGATAGCCCAGGGATACGGCTGTCTTAGAAAGTATTTTTCTGAGCCTTGCCGTCATCAGTTGTCTTTTCAATGTCCGAGCAGAAGTTCTGCCACGCAGTTTTCTTCTCTTTTCTGATGGCCTTTTTGTATGTGGCTAGTTCCTTTTTGTAGCTTTGCCAGTTTATGTCCTCATTTGCAGCTTTCGCTCTGTTGAACAGGTTTCTGCATTTGGCTCTGAGGATTGATATTTGCTGGGTCCACCAAGGAGGTTTTTTCCTTCCCCTTGGTTTCCCTAACGGGCATGCAGCTGAGAATGCCGCGTTGCATGCTTCTGTGAATTTGTTTACTATATTATCTAGCTCCTGAGTGCAAGGAGTGCTTTCTGGTGGCTTCCTGGGGAGGAAGTTCGATAGAATTTCTTTGTATTTATTTCAGTTTGCCCGCCTGGGGTTGGCAAAGCTGACCGGCGCAGGTGACACTAGGGACAAAGTTGTCTCTATAAACCTATGATCTGAAAATGAGTGCTCGTCGGAGACAGCCCAGTTTGTGACTGTGCTTATGAGTGAATCTGATGCCAGGGTTAGATCTATGATCGTTTGGCACGTTTTTGTTATAAAAGTAGGGGTATTGCCCCTATTACAAAGAAATAAGTTCGAATTAAGAATGAAATCGAATAAAGACTCACCTCTGTCGTTGTTGATAGGGCAGCCCCACTGAGTATGGTGGGCATTTGCATCGCATCCTATCACCAAACCTTTCTTAAGCTCTTCACATTCCTGTACCAGTCCTCTGACTAGCGCGTCTGGGGGGTCTACCTTTTCGAAAGCCATGTAGGCCGATAGCATCCTAAAAGAGCCGCTTTGCAGCTCCAGGCTTATTGCTGTGTTGTTTCCGTTGCTGTATTTGTGAAGCAGAAATGTACTAAGATGCCGTTTGGCTAAAATGCAGGTTCGAATTATACCTTGTTTGGGGTCAAGCATAAGCTTGTAGTCTTTTGTTCCTAGTCCAGCAACCCTGCCTCCTGCTACCCAGGGTTCCTGAACTAAGACCACGTCGGCTTCGCCTCTGGCCAGGCGAAGCAAAAGAGCAGCGGACGCTGCTTTACTGTGATGTAGGTTGATCTGCAGGAGTCTTAGCGACATCCCCAGCTGCAACCTCCACCACAGTAACGTCGGCCTCCGAATCGCTCAGGTCCACTTCGTCGATTGCCGGTCCCATCGCTCGCATCTCTCTGCTTAGTGACGAGTCGGTTGAATAGCCGTCCTCCGGCACACCAGAGGCCTCCACTTCCTTCGCAAGCACCTGCTCGGCTGGGTTGCCGGCAGGACTTCCCGAGGAATTAGAGTCCCCTTTATATATTTTAATATGTATGGCACTGAACCCATAGTTGAGCGTTCCCCGAGCAGCCTCTATGGGAGCGACCGACTCCTTATTTAGTACCACGATCGCTTGGTTTACGTCACCTACGTGCTTCTCCACCTTAACGACTTTCCAGTCTTTTGTGGGGAGATGTGGGTTGCATTCTTGCAACATATAGAGAATG